TAGTCCCTGAACCTGTAGGCTGGGAGAGCAAAGAGCCTCCCACTGTAAGCAAAGAGCAGGTTCAAGACCACTTGATGAAACTGAACAGGTACAAGTCTATGGGGCTGATGACATGCATCCCAGGGTCCTGAGGGAACTGGCTGATGCAGTTGCCAAGCCAATCTCCATCATAATAGGATTGAGTTCACCCTCAGCAAGTTTGCAGATGACACCAAGCTGAGTGGTGCAGTTGACACAACAAAAGGAAGGGATGCCATCCAAAGGGACCTGATAGCTTGATAAGTGGGCCCACGTGAACCTAATGAGGTTCAACAAGGCCAAGTGCAAGGTGCTGCACCTGAGCATCTAGCAAAAGATTTTGGCTTCTATGTCATAGCCTTTCTCTGAAGTTGCATCTGACACACAGATTTTGAAATAAAGCATCTTAGTACAAATTGTAGGGGATTTTTACAACTTCCAATACTATTCTGGCTTGAAGATCTTGTGGAGTTATCTAACAGCATTAAAATAATAATGGCAGGGCCTTCTGTTACAAGCTTCAAGCTTCTGTTACTTAAAGTACCATACCATACTACCCTTTTCATAAGCCTCTTGCATTATTTTAACAGCAAACCGGTGTATTTGCCCATTTATTTATTTATTTATTTTCAACAAGAAAGATGTTTTAACCTTTTTGTTCTGTCAGGAATTTTCTTCTAATTTCTGATCCAAATGTAGCCATGCATATTTTATGTCCATTGTTTTTCAACTGCTAACACCATCCTGTGGCTGAATAGCTCTTTCCCCTTTGCATTATTTATAGACATGAGCCGAAATCCTTTTGAGCCTTTGTTTGGCTAGACTGATCCCACCACCTGTTCTCATTTCTTCTTGTAGGATGGTCTCCTCAGCTTCCCAATTATCCTAGCCATTTTCTGCCCTGCTTCCAACTCAAAACAATTTGTCATGACTCTTAGTTACCAGAATTGTACACAAACTCCCAGATGATGTTTCACTTGGGCTTACACCCAGGAACAGTTCTTGGATCTACCTCTCCCATTACATCCACTGACTAGAGGTACTTTAAGGTAGTTAGTAGTCATTTGCTTATAAACCAAAGAAAAGTTATCTCTATTTTGGCTGCAGAGCTGCTCTACATTAATTATTACTTCCATATATACGATGAATTTCTGAGGAAACTGTGCAAGTGGAGGAGTGGTGTCTTGAATACTCACAGCTTCTCTTCTATGCTGGAGTGGCTGGTGTGCAGGTGAGGAAGGGTCTTTGGCCATAATCTCCTGCTCCCCTCCACCTTGCAGTCCCCAAGGCCCCAGAACGTCCATCCTCCAACCAATTCTTGCTGGAACAGCACTGCATATTCTCCTCTGGCTTCCCATCTGTATGGAGCACAGGCTCAGCCTCCAGAAATGTAGGTGGCTTCACCTAGATGGAGCCTTGTTGGCCACCTGCCCTGATGAGTGGGAAGAAGGCACCTCCATGGTGCCAGGGAGTTGGATGGAGCCTGTTGTCAGACCAGCACACTTATCTCTAGAGAAATCCCCAAGCTGCACAGGTCACTACCCAAAACTTTTAAGAAGGGGCTCTAAAGGAGGGAAGAAACTTTCAAAAGACATGGAAACAAAATCTCTTACGCTTTTACAAGCTTCTTTTCTTTTTATAAACTCAAACACTTCCCCGGATGATTAGGCACAAACTAAATGACAAGTACTGTAATTACAGGTGGGAAATGAAGCTCTGAATTTTCTGGTGCTTTGGTAGGTCTGTTCTCTCACACTGGGCCTTGCAGCATGGATGCTCACATGGAAACAGGTTACAAGGGCCCCAGCATGAGGCTGCAGATGAGGCAGTGCCTCCTGGTTGGACTATCCAGAGCACAAGGCCTTGCAGGGTGGCACAGCTCCGACCACCACACAGTGCTGCCTGCCCCACATGCCCAGGGCAGCCTGGTGGCAGGTCACCGCTGCAACAGCACCCTTGTAGCACACAGTTCAGAGCAGCTATGGGGTGCCAAGAGGACCCTGTGTCCATCCCAACCACCACATGAAGCTTCTGTGACCTGCTGAGTCCCCCTCCCGCTCCCCAGGCTGAATTTGGAGGAACAGTCGCATGAGAGATTTGGCGCAGTGCAAACAGGGGAGGCAGGTTTTGTTATTTTTTCTTTGTCAGAAAGCTACAGTATTTCTGCTCTTCAGTGGGCTGGTCACTTCTGCAGTTCATGATGAGACAAATAATGTTCTAAGGACATGTAGGCTGTTCCTAAAAACAATATAACCTCTTGTCCTGCCCTGCCTCTTTGCCTCTTCAGTGACAGTAAGTACTTGGTTATTCTTTGCAGCTCTCTTATTGCTGACCTATTCATTTTGAGAGGTTTTTGTGTGTGTGCATTCTCTGACTGGTCTTTGACAGCAAGTGGACAGCCACATGCTGCAGGGAATCCTTTGAGTTCAGTCGAGGAACATGCTGCACCCCAGGGCCTCCTTGTCAGCCCTGGTGAGGGCACAGGAATGTGCAGGAGCTGACCTAGGGGACATCCTCCATTCAGGCCAAACAAGAGGCTGCCAGGCCTTCGGAGGAGGTTATTTGCCTCCCTGTGACTCAAGGGAATGGAATAGAGAGTGAAGTGAGCCCAGTAGCAGACCTAGCAGACCTGAGCCCCTGGGGAGATACACGAGTGCAGGGGTGTTTGCACCCAGGGGAGCTGAAGCTTGGCAGGGGGACAATTTGGCAGCCCTCCACTCCTGGCTCGTGCTAAGCTGGGAGGTAGCATAGTACCTCCCAGAGTGGTTTCGTTTGCTTGTCATATGGTGCTCACTTGCCTACTTTAAAGGAAAACAAATGGCTTCTTGGAAGCTGCTCGTGCATCCGGGAGGAGTGGGACGCTGACCACAGCAGGACTGACGTGCACCTAAGGAGAGAAGGGGCTGCCTTCCCCTTCAACAGGGCATCAAAATCTTAACAAGGTGTTTTCAGGGGCCCTGTCTCACAGCTGTGCAAGTAGGAGACAGGCTTTGAAATGCCTCCAAGTCAAAGTGCTGTGAAGTTTATGTAGGCAGAAGGTAATTACCCAGATTAGAATTTGGCCAGGACACAGGACTGACACTTCATGAAGGAGTGTGCCACAGGAGCTTAAATAACCACAAGCGATTGGCACTTCCATGACTTTACCTTTTAGCAGAAACACTAATCTCCAGCAGTGGAGTGGTGATGGAGAGACAGGACTGATGAGGAAGGTGTTAACAACTGCAGGCTGCAGCACGGGTTCAATCTTCATAAGGTCTGCATCCATTTCCCTTCCCCTTCTCGAATATATGAGTTGTAAAGAAGTAACTCAAACCACTGTTATTGACCTGAAAGTTGAATTCTACCTTTCTTTTTCTTCTTTTTTCCTAGCTTTCCTTCTTCTGCATTTTTCCTTCCTCATCTGCCACTTTTCAGTATTCCTTTTTTCTTCTGTACCATCTTCATCTCCTGTACAATTACTTTCCTCGCTTCTTACTTTCCATCTAAATCCTCTCCACTGTGCTTTCCTGGAGTTCTGTCCCTATCTTTCGTTCTCCCTTCCAACTTCTTATCTGCTTCTGTCATTTGATTAAACATTTTGCTGCTTCTCATCCTTCACAAAGCTGTCTGGGGTTGTGGGCCTCCTCCTGAGCATGGCTGCATTCCAGTACTGCTTATATCCTCAAAAGATCCCAGGCTCCAGCTTCTATGTGGTCATGAGTGACTGGCCACAGATTCAATTTTATGCTATGGGATTCTATGCTGGTATAAAGGTAGCTGAAGACTATCCGTATGCGTATTTCCTGTGGTAATAGGTCTAGAAATACTCATGAATTGTTGTGAACCTGAGACTAGAGGAAAAATGTTGGGAAGTGTTTCAGTTAGTTGTAAATTGCTTTTAGTTGTAAATTGCTTTTAGTTGCAAATTGCTTTTAGTTGGTTCTACTCAGTAACTACCAAAGCAAATAAATTAAAAATTGAAAATGTATCTTCACCTTTTTCTTATCAAACAGTAACTTTCCTGGCAATTCACTAACACATCCCTTTTCTGTTATGCTTCACTGCCCTCGAGTAATTTGTTCCTCTTTCTGGGGAAATCTGTCTGGTGAATATTTCCTGATACAACCTTGCCTGTAGTTTTTCGGTACCACTGCAATGTTTGATGACCATAAATACTTCTTTCTAGTGGTGTTATGTAAAAGAAATACCAATTCTCTTACTTATTGCTAAAATAAGTAAACTAATTAATAATTAGTTGTTTTTCAAAAAACCTTTACTTCTCCTTGACCTTCAACATCTTCACTACTGCTTGTTTTTCTTCATGTTATTGCTGCCTTCATGCTATCTGATGCACTGAGAACCATGACTAATCAGACAGAGCTGGACTGTCTAGTACTACATGAAGAAGGACTGCTCATGCCATTGCCTGTGATGTGATATCTCCAGCCACCCAGCTCCAAATGATGTTGGCTCTGCCTCTGCCATATCATGTTGACGATTCACACTCAGCTCAACTGGTATCGTATGAAAGTCCTTTTCCACCTGAATGCAAGTCTGCTCTTCAAGTTTCTCTATCTGACCAAGTCTTGGCACTAGGGTTAGTTCTGCCTAGATACAGTGGTGTGCACATGGATGTCAGTTGAATAATTCTGCTGCACCTTAAAATATCCATGTTAATTTTAACGCCTAAGTCAACATGAACTGCAGCTCTGGCCATCACCCACTTTTCCCTTCTGTTCGATGAAGGTTTAGGACCTGGTATACAATACCAGTGGCCTGGTAAAGCCCACAGCTTGATGTGAGTTGTATATATATAGTCTGAAGAACCATTTTCTTTTTCTCTTTTTCTATGGAACTGTACTAACACAGACTCAGGTACAATCCTCCAAAGAAGCCTGATGCATGCAGGTGAGAAAGGTTTCATTTTCTTTCCTGGGAGATGTTCCTAATGTTCACACAAAGATCTGGCAAGATTTCAGTCACAAAAACCCAAGACTATGTTTCTGTTTAAAAGCTTCAAACTGCATTTATTGTAAATTTATGGAAAAAAAATAATGAAGAAACCACAGGTTGGTAAACTATTACATCTCAGTGTGAAGAAGTTGTCCAGTGATTTGCAATGCAGGTATTGAAAAGAATATCTAAAGAAGCAGCAATTTTTCAATAGAAATCTTATTAAATAAAAAAGAAAATTATTTCCATATTTACAGATTATAAGGCAAATGTATCCTTAAAGCATTGTTTAGTAGTTAGTGGGTTTATTTCTTTGAAAGGAAAAGGGAAATGGTTCAAATCTAAGAGGGTACTTAGGAAGCAGCTTGCTACAGAGTCTATTTTACCACTGGTGAACAGCCCAACAGCCTCCCCTGACCACTGCCATGCTCTGCTTCTTCTGTCATCCAGGCTTTCACCGAAGGGCTTCTGGTACCTCCACCTACAAAACACAGAGCAGTGGAAATCTCATTACATTTGATGTACAGTCTGGGTGTCAAAATTCCTTCCTGGGCTGTAGGCACTCTCCCAAGATCCCTCTGCTAATCACCACCTCCCATAACAAGCCTGAACCTAGGAAAGTACCTCGCTTTCTGTCACAATCTCGGGTAAATAGAAGTCAGAGTGCTGAGAAAAGCCTAATCAGAGGAAAACCTCCTCCCGAGTATTTTATGTTCACATTTCTAAGAATGTTTTTATTAAATATCTATGTACTAAAGTTAATTGAGCTTGTGCTGTATCTGAGCCACGATCAGTTACTGAAATATGATCTCTTACTTACCCGCCTTAATTGTTTTATGCTGCTTGCTCGAATTGCTTCCATAAGGTTGTCATGGAGAGACCTCTGTGGGGTAGAAGGTCGGGTGGAGGGTCGGGAGCCTTCTTCTGATCTTCTGTCTGAGACTGATTTTAGAGAATCTTTAATTTCTTTCAATATGCTGTTCTCATGTTTTTTGCTTTTTTTGCCTTTTTTCTTTTTCTGTCCATTCTGTAAAGCTTTTCTTGAGCTTTCTTGCTGCTTGATGACTTCAGCTATGTTCCTGGTTGGTGCCTTCTTCTCTGGAATAACTGGAGGAGGTGGAGGAGGAGGAGGAGGAGGAGGGGGGGGTGGAGGTGGGGGTGGGGGTGCAAGAGCTGGCGGCTGACTTTTTGCTGGTGGTGCCTTCTTAGAGAGCTTTGGAGAGGACCAAGGTGAACTCTTAGGTGACGTATAAGGTGAGGAACGAGGAGTCCCCTTCTGCAAGGCTTTGGTCTTTGGGTTGATGGCACCATCACAACCAGACTCTTGCTGTCGTTGCTCCTGCATACGCTTTTGCCTTTGTTTATCCATATTTCTTGTCAGAATACTTGTCATGCTCATCCTTGGACCAGCAAGGTCAAAGTGGTATCCGAGCTTGACCAGAGTGGTGTTCTCTTTCAACAGTTTAACTATGTCCATTTCCACCTGGCTGCCCATGATATGCCTTTGGTTGTGGAACCGCAACTCTGTTAGAACCTTGTTATGCTGCAAAGCTCTCATGATGGCCAGCACTCCTTTGCCCGTGATAAAATTTGACTCAATATTCAGACTAGTTATATGCTGATTTACCTTTAACATACCGGCAATTGCTATTGCGACATTGTCATCAGCGTGTGTGTTAGCCAAGCTGAATGACTTGACTACGGTGTTGTCCCTAAGGGCTTGAGAAAATTGTATAAGCATCTGTGAAGTGATGTTTTCAATGTTATTTAGATTTACCTCTGTGGTGTCTGGGTCATTGCTCCGAACTTTTTCCAAAGCATCCTCAATAACGGTTGGGTTTCCACACGGATGGATGGCGCTGCTTTTAAAGCTCAGATTGTCTGTGTCTTTACCATCGTGGCCATTGAGCAAATTTTCACTGTCCTTCACACTGTTACTCTTCTTGTGTCTCATATGGTCAGAACTCCTGCCATCCTCACAATTCACAGGTCTTTCACCAGCTGCAGCATTTTGCTTTTCATCGTCCTCATCATCACTGTCATCTTCATCTTCCTCCTCTTCTTCTTCTTCCTCTTCGTCATCCTCTTCGGTATATGCCTCCTCAGACACTTCACTGTTGCTTTCTGTAAAATATTCTTCTTGAATGTCTTCTGAATTGTCATTTTCTTGCTCTGATTCCTGAACAGGAATGTAGGTGTGGGCGTTAAACACAATTGCAGTAACATAGCTACTGCCTCTTTGCACAAAAATAATTATCTTGAAACTATAGAATTTAATGCTGATAGCTAAAAATAAATTCCCAGAAAGAAAGACAATTAAGGGAACAGAAAAACTGTTTCAGCACCTTACACCTTTTTATCATTATTTCTTTCATTTTCTTTAGAAGACAAATGCTTAGTGTAAATTGGATTAGCTTCCCAGATGTCAAAGATTTCTACCAAGAGAAGACTTAATACAAGATACCATAACATGGATAAACTTCATTCTCTTTGTTTGTTGGCATGTCTACAAGGGGCTATTAAATGGAGCTGTATGGGTCCCTGCCAGCAGAAACACAAGACTGCAGTTTCAGAATGGATGTGATATGTGAGCAACAAGTTTCTTGACTTCATAAAGATTAGACAGCTGCGTCAATGCTCAGTCTCCCTTGTATACGTTAGCACATCCAGCAAGGCTAAAGAATGCCATGACTTAGAATACAAACAGTGTCTGCATGTGTAAACAGGCATATAGATATGGAAGATAATATAGTATTACACGAGTCCTGCAGAAAGGACTCTGGATAAACTAAGGGTGTTATACATGCTTAGGAGCAATTTGTGAAGAAAAGATTACAACACTTTCCCACCGGTAACATGTAATCATGTCAGTAAACCCCAAATCTCTTCATGTTTGCCAACAGCCAAGACTCTGCTCCTGAACAGTTGAAACAGGCCAGCTGCCATACTGTAACGGGTTATAACTCACTGCCTATTCAACGAGTGTTTTTCTAAACCCCAGGGTTATTTCAGTGTGTTTGATGGGCACCCAAATAGCAGCTTTGGATCCACTTCTCAAAGTTCTGCCAGGTGTCCTTAGCAGTTATGGTGGCAGTGGACAATCCTCCACGTGCAGGAGCAGCTAAAGGTCTGTACCCCTCAAAAATCCCACTCTCCATTTGGAGAGCTCCAGAAGCGTGGCAGCATTGTGCAGGCCATGACTGAGCCCCCGAGCTGTGACCAACCCTCAGCCTCTTAACCAAAAAGAGATCTTAGGTGTCCTTTTCAGTCTACTGGGCAAGCCAGAGTCTAAGTTTTTTATGTTTGTAAATGCTTTTAAAATTTTGGATGAAGTGTAGTGGTTGCATGCACTACTTTATCAACATTCATGTTTTGGTCTTTGTAAAATACTAAGTGTGCACTTTGTGGAGACACGGTGATTCAGTTCTGTGCTTCTGGAAAACAGAATTGTTACTAACTTGGCAGCTTATTTTTAGAAAACCTGTGTAGATTTAGGTTTTCTTAATTATCTGGTTCTAAAAATGCCAGTGAAAGGTTAAAATAATAGTAATTACAGATTGCATGGTACCATTTCATAGTCTTGAGCAGTTTGCTGTGTTGGGACACATGAAAATCAGACGATACTTGTAGTCTTCACAAAAGCCTGAGTCTAACGAAACAGGTCATCGAACTGGTCCAGCCTACCACTGCTGAGAGTTCAGCACATGCAGGGTTTGCAGGATCCAGCTCCATCACCCTGTGCATGGAGGGCTTGCAAGATCTGTCCCCCACTTCTCCTGCAGAGTCTGTGAAGGAAGTCCCTTAACACAGAAAGTTGCTGTGCTGCATATGGAAACATGGATGTGTTTAAGCCAGGTTTATTATGGGGCTGAGATTTGTATCTGAAGCTTCTGCACAAATATGCAGCCTTTTAAAAGCTGAAAACATCAGTTATCCAGGAAAGCATCTGTGTTGCTATGCTTTTATCTGCCCAAGCATATACCCTACAGTCTTCAGCACAGCTGCATATGAGCAGAAGCTTGTGCCTTTGAATGGACTGCTAATATGTTTTGATGACTCTAGATAAATATAAATAAATAAACAAACTTGATTTTTCTCAGAGGCACTTCTGAGGGTACAGGCGGAATTTATTTTCCCAGCACATACATCGTCAGCTGTCGTATCTCATGTCATATCCATGGTTAGATGCCATATCTCACAGCAACCTGAACAACAATTCTGCAATGGAGTACTCTTCTCTGCAGATCTATAAAGGCATGCCCGGGTATTGTGGCAGCATTTCAGTACAGGACTGCTGCCGGCAGCCTGCAGGGCTTTATCTTACTTCATGGTAGCAACTTGATGAAAAGTTAGGCCGCAGATAGTCAACACAGTGAGATAAATACCTCTGGAGGGCATGGCACTCACCCTAAAAGGCTATCTACAGGATGTGTGCCTTCTGAAGGGGCTGATGTCTTGCCACTAACTATAGAAATTGCACGAATAGCTATCTTAAATAAGGTGCCTACCTTTCGGACAGTTGAGGGCAAAGAGATTGCTTTCAAGAAATGCAGAAAGTGTTTTCTTACTGCCTTCATTTGTGCCTCCGACATCAGCAAGTGAACACTTTCCTATTTTTGGACACTTTTAGAAATTTTCTTCTCACATCTAAAGGAACAAAGGCTTTTGCAAGCACTTTAAGGTTTAGCTATTAGCACCTTGTTAATACTATACAGTCATGGGAAACCATTCTGTGACACAGAATGAGCCCTGTTCAGAAGGTTTTTGGAACCAACCAGGTTTCAGGTTCCAGGCTCATCTGGAAAAAAGCATTAATCTTGCCATTCCGTTCCTTAGCACTTGACAAACAGGGAGTGAAGTCCACGTCTGCAAGCTGATACTAATGGTCTGATGACAGCTAGCACTCGGTGTGCTTGCCTACAAAGACACTACAACACCATTCACTAGCAGGAGCAAACACTTAACTGCAAAGAAATCCTGACTATTATTATCACAAGCTAATTTTATCCAAGTGATTTTTCTCTAAGACAATATTTAGTCTGATGTAAAATTGGCCTAACTAGATTTTCTTGCAAATGAACTGAGCTCCTGACAAGGCTGTTACAAGTTGAGATTTGCTTTTTTTTTATCTTTTTTTTGTATGTTTTTTTTTTTTTATTTAAACATAGGAGAACATGTCCTCATAAGGCAAAACTTGGTATGGAGCAGTGCTTAAAAATCAAAAAAGTTACTCTCACACCTAAGTTCTTGCTTTGCTTTGAAACTACAGGAAGCTGTTGAGAAAACAAAAGCTAATTTTTGAAGAGCTCAGTCTCACAGATTGTTTCTGCAAGGGCTCAGGGGATGATTGCTTCGGTTTGGTTTGGTTTGTTTTTAAAAGGCAACATATAAGCTTTTAAACAAAAACAGAAGTTAACCAAAAGTCTGTATCGCTACCTGGCAGTAACTTTTAGCCTGTCCCTTAAAACTGTATTCCTGCCCATTTTTTAATCACCAGCAATAGTTTTTGCAGGATTTTCTTCTGTTTTCTGTTAAGCTTGTAATGTACTTCCAGAGAGGGTGCAAGAGTTCTCTGAGCCAACTCTCTGTGCTTTAGCGGCACAAACATATCTCCAACAATGTTCTTAAAAATGTTACAAGAGACAGAAAGAAAATAAAAGCAGCAAGTGAGAGCCAGGGAAGAAGAAGCCCTGACATTTCTAGGAAACAGCAAACACCTCAGGGTCTTACCTTGTCGCATGCACCCAGCCTCTCTTTTTCCAAGAGTTTTCTGGTCTCCCTCTCCCAGTAGGCCATCAGCGCTTCCCTGCTGAAAGTCCCTGTGGGTGTTTTCTCTGTCAGACTCTTTTGCCGTTGCCCTACGGGAAGGTTACGATCAGGCTCGATGTCCTCCAGCTCCCGCTCCAGCTCCTTCAGCTCCTCTTCAGTGAGAGAAGCGAGGAGCTCGTCTTCATCAATGTCCTCATATTTGCTCAGCTCTCTTCTGTAGCCAAAGGTAGACATGGTCCCGTTTGGTCAGGCTGGTACAAAACTGAAAGGATCGGGCATTCACGAGGGCTGGATCAGGCACGCCGCGTCTCGTTTGGTCAGCAACTGTTTCCCTGAGTAGCTGAGGCACCCTTTTAAGAGTGATCACCGGGGGCTTACGACAATGCATGAAGGGATGAAAGCATGCTCTGTTTTAAGCATCAGACGTCAGCTAGACATCTGAAGAGAAAGAATGTCCCACCGCTGGTGTTTGCAGGTCCCTGGAAGAGGGGATTACTGACACAGTGACCATTGCCTTATTTAGAGCAGCCTGCTCGCGGGAGGGCACCCGCCGCCCGGGGGGGGGGCAGCGGGGAGAAAACCACGCTGGCCTCGCCTGTTAACAAGAGGAGGAAAGAGCCGTGAAAATTCACATAAACCCCAGCTGCTGCAGGGGCTGGGAACAGAACGGCCTCACCATTGCTCGCCAGAGTCCTGCTGCCTTTCATGGTTTTCTGGCCAAACCACACTGTCGTTGCAGCAAGGCGGCTGCAGGAGGCTGCAAGTGGTGGAAGAAGGGGAGAAGGTTGTGGTGCCTGTACCTCACCTGCCACACATCACCCAGCCGGATTATCTGCCGATTCTCCTTGCTCAGGAGTGATAGGGGGAGGATCGACTCGTCCCTTTGCAGCTGGTGCCAGATGCTGCTCTGGTGGAGGACTGCAGGCTGCTGCTGGGGTCGGTGGCATTGCATGGAGGTGTAGGGGCACCTCACAGCACAGCACAGCACGGGCTTCGTTAATGCCCACAGACCCTAGCAAATGAGGCCTCTAGTGGGCATTTTAATTTATGGCCATCACTCCCTGGAGCTGATGGATGTGCAGCTGGAGAGCACCCTCAAATTCATATATATATTCATGTGTGTATATCTACGGGTATTTTTTCCTGTATAGATATATGATAATGTATTTACACAAACACATAAGTATATGGGAACAATGTACATATAAATACGTTATCACATCTTCTAGTAAGCACTATACTGACATTGTTTTTAGAGAGAGGTATCTTCCAGTATAAGGAACCACAGAATGAAAGCATAACTTCACATTGTTTTTCTTCTCTTTACTGCCTATAAATGATGGTAAATAAGCAAAGCTTTTGGAAACATCCAGGCCAGCAATATCTGAAAACCAATGCTCTGAGAGAGAGACAAAGAAAGGAAGAGTGAAATAGAGAAAAAGTAGATTTGGGTCCAAGGAAGTAGAAACCCACCTAAAATGATAAATGTTAACATTATAAAATGAAAAGTCACAGTGGTTTTATTTTTAGATGGTAAATTCCATGTTAAAAGGAAATGAAAGTGAAATCATTTGAACTAAGTACTTGTCCAGAATTTCCTCTTTTTGATTAGCATGGATTGGGCACTAGAACTGACATATGGTGTTTAGCCAAATTGTTTATAAAGTTTTATTATTGCATATGTTGTTTTAATGGCCATAGAGAGGAGTGAGCATGCTTTTCACAGAGTTGGTAAATAAATTAGATATTTCCTTTCATCATTTTTCTATGTGGATTTCATGCAGCTTAGCTCACTCAAGTGGGATGAAAAGCTTAGAAGCCTTTGCTTTCCTAACACAGGAAAAACACTCATAAATCAGATTAAAGAATACTGCACATTTGTAATCAAATTAAATAAATATTTGCAGGTCATTTGTATTCACCAATCTTTTCATAAAATAAAAAAAAGCAAAAACAAGCTGCAAAAACATCAGACACAACACAATTTGTAAGCCTTAGACTTTTCTTATGTTGAGAGTTCATAATACAAGGTACAAACATACAACTGCTTGACTTGTATATTTACTCTTTTCTGTATAGAATTCTAATTTTAAAAACTCAAAGAAACCTCAAAAAGTGACATGTTGCTCACTTTTCAAAGAATGTTCTAAAGGGTAATTTATTCCAGCCCTTCACAGCAGCATGAACATTACCTTCAATGTTACTCCTTGCAGAGACATGACAATACATTGGTACAGTGACGATCTTTATCATAAGATGAGAATCTCAGTGATGTCTACTCTAGCCAAGGGATAACAGAATTTAAAGATGTTACAAAATATGGGTAAGCTTTTCTATTGCAAATGTCTTCCCAGAAGTGAGGGGAGATTGGCAGAGTTAGATGAGGTTACGAGAGATTTGGGTCCTTTCTTAAACCTGTACATGTCACTCACGGTAATTTAGGACCCATTCTTTATAAGGAAATGGACAAGTGCAAACACCCATGAACAGTCTCTGGAACAACAATGATAAAAGTAATAAAGCTGGCAAGTTGTACACACAAAAATGATGCTAAAACTGTAAAGCCAAGCACTCACATATCAGCAAATGCTGGCATTACATTTGTCCTTGCCTTTTGATGAGCACAGAAACTCAGTGCTTAATTCCATAATTCTCTGATATAAAATTATATGCTTCAATTCTGGTCCCACGAGTCCCCAGGACCCTTACTGCCACTCAGTGTGCAGGAGAGATCATGCATATTTAACAAACAGCCCCTCAAAATTTTGTCTTGTTGTTTTCTTCAGCATATCAAGATTACTAATGACTAATGTCTAAGAACACTTTCAGAACGGGTGGCAGTGTTATCTCAATTGAAAGGAGAAATAAAGAGACTTTAAGATTGAAAGTACCCACTAATGCAGAGTGCTTACGGTGACATGTTTAGGATTTGCTTTTTGGGAGTATTTGGCATTATGCAACACTGCAGTTTGTCAGTGCTCAGCTCCTGTGGGTATCACCCATTGCTGAAGCTGCCCACCACTACAGTTCAGACCACAGTTGTCACTCAAATTATTTAATTATGATTAAATTGGCTTGCCTAACTTCTCAGAGGAAATTTGCTAAAAATTAGGATTGATTTTGTTTTCCTAGTATTACCATTCCTGCATGAGACTTTTTGTTCTCTTCCCTCAGTCCCATTTCTCAGACATTATAAACACTCAGACACTCAGATTTCTGGGGGGAAAAAAAAAAAAAAGAAAAAGGAAAAAAAAGGCAAAAATAGCAGCCTGGGCATCCTGTTGTACATCCCACACTATATGCTCAATCACAGAACTGTGACTCCAATATAAACCCTTCAGGAAGAAATGTTGTGCTAGCGAGGTGTGAGGTGGTTGAAGCGAGAGGTGGCACAGTGAACTTCCTCCTGTCACAACCAGCATGAGAGCAAAGCATGGGCTACACGTAGTAGTCCACATGCACAGGTCTGTAATTGCTGTGTTGACTGCTATCTAGGATGAATCCTCCAAAGTACTTTGCCACCGACCAGCACAAAACCTCAAACCATGCCCCCGACACTGTGCTAAAATCGTGTATTCAGCGAATAGCTTGTCACTTCTAGGCCATGAAAACTCTTCACTCGTTCAAAAAAATAATTTTTGAAATATTTGCTTCCTTCAGGATGGGGTCTAACATGAGAGAAGATAGGAGCTGAGAGAGCCCATTTTATTGAAGTAGGTCTCACTTTGCCATTTCAAACATCTAGGGTTCAGGCTTCTGGCTCTGAGTGGGACTGAACCCACTCAGAGGCTGGTAAACTTCGGACAGGACTTTACATCTTTCCTAGCCCAGGTGGCTTATCTTCTAGGTTTTAGAAGACGAGACTCTTCTAAGTGCTTATGTCTCTTTTTTCCTTTCCAAACAACTAAATATTTCAACCAGCAGCCTCAGAAATGTTCTGCTTCTCACAGGTTTCCACACCTTGTTGTTCAAGTTGTTGAAAGGAAGCGAGCAAAATCAGAAGGGCAGTAGGCATCACCGACTGGGGCAAAATACACAGCTTAAACTTTACTTGCAGTCTGGTGAGCGCAGGCCAAATGACAGGAAAGCAAAGTGAGTGTTGTACAACCTTGTCCTCAGGCATGGGACACGGCCTGTCCTCAGGGCACTGGCTATTTCAGTCACAGCTCCTGAGGACAGCCTGTCAGACAGATGCGTTGGCTTGTATCAAAACGCCGGCCCACGCTGCAGGAACGGGTCCAATTGCTATAAAGCACATTAAAAACAATGCCACCACAGCATGTCTGGGCTTTCCCATTCCCTCATGTTGCACATTTTCACCCTTCCCCACCTCTTTTGCACCCCCATTCCTCACCCAGCACCTTCCCTGATGCATACCCCTCATGCAGGCCCTGATATTCCAGCCCCAAGCTCCTCACTGCTGTGGCCTTCCCTGCCTCCTTTCCCTGACCCCTTCTCCTTCCTGCCCCTCATCCCACACCCCCTGTTCTCCTCCCGGTGCTGCCTGCCTTGCTGCCTGCCATCCACCTCCTGCCTCACACTCCTTTCCCCTTCCTCCTCATACATATATTTCTGTATGCTGCTTCTGCAGGCCCAGGTTGAACGCAGAGTCCAAAAGAGACAAAGGGTCAGCAGTCTGGCATCTAGGCAGGATGGGCAGGCAGACTGATGGGACAAGCTGTAGCTCTTTCTCCCAAGGGACCAGCATTACTTTTGAAAATTGTGCACACCGTACCACTCTTGAAAAGGATGTGTCATCACCTGCATTTAACACTGGTATCAGCCCAGCAAATGGGATAAAGCATGCACTGAAGGCATTTGAAGGAACAATTTTTCAGCTGCTTTCCTCTGTGACAGATGATTCTGTTGTCCAGTCCATCTCTCCTGGTGTTGCTGTAAACGGGGAGTCACAAGTGAGAAAAACTTTTCCCTTCATCCCTGCTAAGGAAACAAAAAGTGGGATGAGTTTAAAGACCACTGTGAACCCAAACCAGTCTTTGCTTGGGAATCTGATTTGACATCCTAAACCAATGACAGATCCTTCCCGCTGACCCTCTGCAGCACACTCCAGGCCACTGGAAGGGCAGATTCCAGGTCCAATTGTAGCTTAACAGCTCAGACCCACCAACAACAGCGATCAGCTTTCACTCAAAAACATGTGCATGTGGACTGCCTTATTGCTCAGATTCGTTTTGAAAACAACATTCCCACCAGCTGCTGGGAAGGTAACCAGAAGTCTGGGGAATGCTATAAACCACCAAGCCATGGGGCAAACACTAATCTAATACATTTAGATGGTGTGGGCATTCAGGTTGCCTTGCTTATCAAGCAGACAGAAGAATCATAGAAAAATGTCATAGTAATGTCAAAGAAAAAGTCATAGTAAAGAACTGAATGGGTTCTGGTGGTGCTGGTGATGGGAAGTGTGCAAGGATGCATCTTGGAAGTGGAGTCAAGAGGTGAACCTTGCTGCAGGAAACTGCTGGGGGAAAAAAGTAACAGTGCAAACAAAAACATTTGTGGACTAACAAATTCCTTCAGCATTTGATTAAAAGAAGGAAAACTTTCTAATCATCTTGTGTTGGTACAATAAGTCACGTTCCATAATAACAGCATGAGGGGAACCTGCTTATCTCTGACAGAGGAAACTATTGTGCTGTTCTGTAAGTGCTTCTCCACTTCCCTACTGACTGTCCACTTCCTCAGTGCCAGTTTTTGCCACACCAAAAAGATAAAGTGCCTTATACACAATGGTTGTCCCAATGCTCTTGCTTTCATATAGCTGCTCATATTCCTCAGGAAGAATCTCAATGTGCTTTACAAACATTGCCAACAGATTTACGAACTATATATAGAAATAATTTCACTCACTACTGATGTACAGACACTAGGGTGACCACAGCAGCTGTTTGGTATTACAGAGCAATATTGCTCAATGGTTTTGGACAGGAAGCAGAGGCCGCTGTATGGCAGAGAAAGTAGCAGAGGTACTCCCGAATGCAGACAGGCATAAAGTGGGTGGTTTTTACAAGAGCAGTTTGAATGGGACGCTGTTTAAGCACCTGTAGTCAACCTGTTCTTTCCCAAAAAGCATGATAAAATAAATAACATCTGCCACTATAAACATTACATTATTCATGGTGGTATTTGGAAATGCACCGTAAGTTGTATGTCTAGGTCCGAGTATGTAGCTATTAAATTGTGAGTAATTATGAAAAGTGCATGCACTTAATCCTTTGTTGAATGCCTCAGACTCAGACAGTTCACCTGTGTAGCTTAGCCAAACATACAGTTTGCCTTTCAGATAAAAAAAAAAAAAAAAAAAAAAAAAGAAAGCTGTTTCTTTATACCCAGGGAGCAATACAAGTACTAACTTCTATAACTATAATTTCCTCAATTTGAAATCAAGGTATTTTAACAGTGTGTGTTTATTAAGATTTTTTTTATTATTAAAAAAAAAAAAAAGATCCTAGCAGTATAAACAAATGATGTAAATCATAAGGAATGAAATACAAGCAGCAGTACTAAGTAAATAAAGACAATAAAGTAAAGAATTTATGTCTACTTTGAAATAGCCCATATTAATGACAATGGGAGTTTGGGCACTGTATCTACCATGCACAAATGATGCAGTCAAAAGTAAATAGTTTTCTGTTAGACTTGATCAAATGTAAAGATTTCTACTGCAAATGTGAATTTTGAATATGAAATTAAATACGTTGTGCATGTCACCAGAGCTACACTACCATATCAGTCTTAAAACTACTAACAACATGTTTTTACAGCTTTTCAGGAGAGTCATGAAACACAAGTTCCTCAGGGAATACTTCTCCTGATCTAAGTACCTCTTTTGCTGTTGTGAGTGACATTTAAGGGAGTACTCCAGAGAGAAAATGTTTCCCGTTGCAATATATACTTTTAAATATTTATACAGTCATTCGGTGCACTTACCCATGTACTTCTTTCTGATTTATCCAGCATTTTTCTTGGTAAAGGATCAGAATGGATTTCTTTGAAGACTGTTCCGTGCATTTGGAGACAGACGGTGTGGGTTTGAATCAAGGTCATTATCTGTAGGTACAGAAAAGGAATCCAAAGGAGAGACACCTTGGACAGCAAGGTTCCCGTTTTAATTACTGCAGCCTAAACAATTTCCAGTGGAAAGGTCAGGGAGAGAACAAGCCAGAATAGAGCCAGTCAGGCTGAAATTCACTTTGGCTGGAATAATGTTTCCTGATACCACCCTTCTTGAGCAGACATCTATCAGTGCCAAGGCTCACAGGGAAAAAAAAGGAGAGGGAGGAAGGCTTTAAATGGACTGACTCAGCAGGCAGCCTAGTGCCATTGCTCAGTACAACAGAGAGTCAAAGATGGATACACAGAAGACAACAGAGATGAGGGCAAGGCACTGTTCACCAGGCACATATTAAGGGGGTTGATGCAAAAGCTAATGGAGATGAGACCTGTTCTGCTACAGAGATAAGTGCTCATCAATTTATGCCACTTTTCTCCACGCAAACCATAGCTAAATTGTTGGCTACTTTAGAAGCCTTTTCTGCCCCAAATAAAGGTCAGAAAAATCCCTTTACCTACCCAAAGGTAGACACAAAAGAGCACTGCTCTGTGACTGTGTTTTTCCATATAGGACTCACATACTGTCAGGAATAATCAGAGAAAAGGCAACTGAGGAATGAAAAACCGGAGGCAGAATACTGGCTCCTGCAGTAAAACAGTAAAATCGTCTCCCATTTGATACCTGGAGCAAGGATCTGCCATGCCAGCTTCTCAGATTAAATGGTAGCCAGCGCATGGAAGTTTTATGGAAGGCATACACGACACTATGGGCCCTAAAGAGTATAGATGGTCATATAACTCATGGCTGTGGTTTGGTCCTTCACCAAACTATGAAAACACAGCTACAGAGTTCATCTCACTGATGCTGCAATGGCTGACATAACCACAGCTGAATTCCTGGCTCCTCGGAGAGTTCATCAGTCTGGCACAGCTGTTTGTGTCAGATTTTATGAGAAACAGAGACCAAATGATATAGCTGCTTTCAAACGTTGTCCCCAAACTGATCAGAGTCCCTACCCAAGAGCATGCCTGAATCAAAGCCAGGGCATTTAATTACTTCTAGCCAATGTCGCCCATGGGTAGACATGCCATGGAATTGAGTTGCAGTGGAACACCTACTAA